CTCAGGTATTTGAGCTAAATTAACAAAAAGCTGACTAATACAGAAGCAATCTCAAGATTCTATTAGGGGGATGGCGCTGTGGCACAACAGATTGACGCTCTGGCCTGCAGTGCTGGCATCCCATATGGGCGCCGGTTCTAGTCCCGGCTGCTTCACTTCCGATCCAGCTCTCTGCTGTGGCCTGGGGAGGCAGTACAAATGGCTCAAGTCCTTGGGCACCTGCACCCATGAGGGAGACCTGGAAGAAGCTCCTGGCTCCTGGCTTCGGACTGGCGCAGCTCTGGCCAACTGGAGAGTGAACCATCGATGGGGGACCTCTCTCTCACTCTCTCTCTCTCTGTCTCTCCTCTCTCTGTGTAACTCTTTTAAATAAATAAATAAATCTTAAAAAAAAAAAGATTATTAGAATGGCAGTTTCTGGGTGATACAGTGTATGGTAGGAGTAGTGGATCTCGCGATCATACATCCCTCACCATACAATGGGTACATTGATCTGAGGCGATGTTTGCAGGTTCTCACATCTGAAAATAAAACGTTGAGTAAGCTCCCAATTAGTGATACAGCTAGAATAACCATGGACAATAGAGACAACGTATATCCAAGGTAGTTGCCAATTCTGGTAAGGACAAATCAGTTTCTTCTAGGATGGAAAGCGTCCGTCCAGTCAACTTCACGCTAAGTGGCTCTCTGAGCCCCTTCAAGCCGTTAGCACACAGGGGCATGGGGTTGGTCTCTGCTGCAGTAGCTTTAGGTATCTGATAGTAACAGATCAGATAGCTGATAGTATCTGATAGTAACATTAGCTAGATCAGCCTTAGTAAGGGGACCATGCCGTTGGGTCTATGTAACACGTCTATTCCTGCAATCAAGGTTTCTTAACTCATGAGTCCATTGCACAAGCACTCTGGTAGCAACAGATAGGGTCTGGGTGGCATTTCCTAGGTGAGACGTCTTGGACGACCTAGTAGTTTAGTGCCTTACTTTCAGGGGATTCTTTCTAAAACACAAGACTTTCAGTCTGTGCACTGCTCTTAAATCAAGCTATATGCCTCTTTCCCAGAATTCCTTCTCTACAGTATCCCCATCTTAATCATTCCACGTCCATTCCCAACAAGCCAACCTACTTAATCCATTTCGTGCTACTGTAACAGAAGGCCTGAGACTGGGCAATTCATGGGAGCAGAGATCTGTTAAGGAACTCCAAGAGCAAGGTACCAGCAGGTCTGGGTGCCTGGTAAAAGTCTGGGCTTCCTTTCCAAGATGCTGCATCCTCTGCAGGGGGAAACATAGTTCCTCACGTGTCAGGACAGCAGAACAGAGTGAACCCAATCTGGAAATCCCTTTTAAAACAGCAGTATTAAAGCCTGGTGCTGTGGCCTAGCAGATTAAGCTGCTACCTGCGATGCCAGCATCCCATACGGGCGCCAGTTTGAGTCCCAGCTGTTCTACTTCCGATCCAGCTCCCTGCTACTGTGCCTGGAAAAGCAGTGGAAGATTGCACAAGTGCTTGGGTCTCTGCACCCGTGTGGGAGACCCAGATGAAGCTCCTGGCTCCTGACTTCAGCCTGGCCCTGCCCTGTCCATTGTGGTCATTTAGGGGAGTGAACCAGTGGGTGGAAGATCTCTCTCTCTGCCTCTGCCTCTCCCCCTCTCTCTGTAACTCTGCCTTTCAAATAAATACATCTTTAAAAAAATAGAAGGAAGCTAGATCCACATTTTTCAAGCGTCTCTTGAAATTAGGGATGGTCAGGTAACTTATTTCTAGTCAATTAGATGTCATAAAATTGTGCTGGAAGGGGAACTTCGTGAATAACTTTTGCTTTCCTTAATATTGGATCACTCACTTGATGCCCAGGGATGCATCAAACACATTCCTGAGGGTAACACAGAATCAGCATTGGTACCTTCTTAAATACAATTTTAAATCATTTAGTGTCATTGTTTTATGAAGATATCAAACGTTATTTAATCAATTAATTAGCAATGTATGTCATATCCATTTTCTCTCTGTTGTGTGATAAATATTGAACTCTGATTATATATCATAAAATATAATCCTATATTTAGTATTGCTAGACATCTTAAGGCTTTGCTGTCAAATTTACATTTTAATAGAGAATATAACTGTGACTAGCAAAAGCAGAGTAAGAGATTGCTTTAACCTCTTACCTATGTAATTCTTTTTAAAATCTTGATTTGTAAAAGGTTCCTCTTTTGTTTCTGCTTATGTCAGAGGAGTTGAGCATCTCCCCCTGTCCCAGACCCTGAGCTACTTGCCTGGAATGCTCTTCCATCACATATATGCATGGTTTGCACTTTCACTCTTTGTAGGTCTCTGCTTTTGTCACCACCTATATGAGCTTCCGTCTCCAACCCCCACCATTTTAAAAACAGCATTCTCCATACTCTGTTTCCCTTGCCTGTTTGTTGTTCCCATCTGACAATGTTATACTCCATGGTTTAATTATCTGCTTAACTGCCTATCTTCCCCTATAGAATCAGGCTCTGTGAGAACAGGGCTTTTCCCTCCTTGTTAACCACACTATTTCTAGCACTTAGAATAGTGCCTACAATATACATGATTAGGCATAGTGGGTTAAGCTGCTGCCTGCAATGCTGGCATTCCATATGGCCACTGGTTCAAGTCCCAGCTGCTCCACTTCAGATCCAGTTCCCTGCTAAGACACATGGGAAAGCAGCGGAAGACAGCCCATGTGCTTGGGTCCATGCACCAACATGGGAGATCTGGAAGAAGCTACTGGCTCCTGGCTTTGGATCAGCCCAGCTCTGGCCACTGGTTTACTGAAATAAATGTGTTTCACATCTGTTAATAACTTATTCTCTGCATATATGCCCCTTTGTTTTTTTATATTAAAGAATATCTTAAAACAGTTTAAAAATAATTTGTTAAACTTACTTAAAAAGTGATTTAGATCAGTGATTCTCACAGGTGTGGTCCTCAGGTCAGCAGCATAAACATCCCCTAGGAACCTTATTAAAGTACAAATATTCAAACCCCATCCGCAGAGTTTCTGATTCCCTAAGTCTGTGGTTGGGCTCAGGAATTAAATTTCTACAGTTTGTGTTTTAACAAATTCTTCAGGCAGTTCTGATGCACACTAAGGTTTGTGTATCTGATTTAGACTCATTTTTGGGTGTCTATTTTCTTTCTCTACCTGCCTCTAATTATTTTTAGACACCATTTCCTCAATCATAGATGCTTTTAGTTCATGTTTCACTGTACAAATGGCTTTCAGCATGTATTTCTGCTGTTTAGACACCCCTGTATTTCCGACTCTCTAAAGACTGTCACTATCATGGGTTGTCTAAGAAGTGTGCAAATTCAGCATAGCCATAATTTGCAGCTGTCTCATCTTTCTAGAAAAGAGCAAATTTTCTACAGCTCTGGACAATAAAGACACATTCTACGCACAGGGCCAGACTTCCACTTGTTAAGAAATGGCGTTCACATTGCATTTTCTTCTCCAGAGAACATACATGTATTTGAAAAATGATGGTATCATATCACGAGTTGAGTTTTCAACACGCACATGTACGTTCATGTGTAGACACATTTCTTCCTCAATATTTACACTTGATATTTCTCTGAAAAGAGGAGGTGAGGAAGGTGGGAGCCTCAATGGGAAACATTTGCACATAGTTGCCTAGGGCCCAGCATTATGCTAGACTATTATTTAGGTGAAATGTTTATTGAATAGAACATGACTCAGCAAGTCCAGATTTTAAAGCCATATGTTTGTTCCAAAGAATAAATGAGATAATAGAGTAAATGTGCTGTGAAAATAGAAAAAGTAACATACATGCCAAATATCATATTTTGTTAATTACATATAATTAATGTTGTGTTTGTAAAACCAGAATCAAAATGGAGTGAGTGTGGCTAAAAGCTAATTGCAGATCTCTTGCTTCTGCACATATTAGCTTTGCTTGCTAATGGCTAAGGGTGAATGCTGTGAAACTATGTGGGCCCAAAATTCCAGGAGCTAGGTTGACTGAAATGTGTCCTTCACTGTTACCTTACCACCATATCTTGGATCTGTTATTGGGTTTGTTGTTGTTAACTGTTATCTTACAGCCATATTCTGGTTTTCCTTTTTATTGTTCACTGCATACCAATCTGGTTCGAAATTGTGAGCCCTAGTGGACAGAATTACTATAAAAAGCTGTGTAACCTGCTGTTGGGGGCCACACTCTGGTAAGGAGTGTCGGTCCCGATCGGTGGCCGGTCCCGATCGGATATCTTGCCTCTCATTTGTTTCTCATTTGCTTCTCATTTTCAATAAAATTCCTGTGTGACTGTCACTAGTTTTTGTAACATTTTGTTTTAGCTGACAAGTGGATGCAACAGTATTAAAATACAAGTATAACTAACAAAACCATTTTTATACCTATGTCTCTCTAAAAATTTTTAAAATAGTCAAGTGCACTTTTTGTCTGTAACTCAAGGATAAAAAACAAAATCCAGATATGCAGTGGCAAACAGGTCTATTGTGCAAATGCAAATTCATAGTACCTTCTGGAATACTTACTGAAGAATGTATGACCAACTATGGGTTCACTCAAAAAGAATCCAATCCATTAACAGTGTCTGCCATTAGGCAAAAACAGGGAATGGTGGCATTTTTCCAATACATTTGAAATCCTTGGTTAAGGTATTTGTACCTTAGTGTTTTGGATATAAGGTAAAATGAAGTGATTGTTCAGAATACCACTTTCATTCACCTGCAATCACAATTCATCTTTAGTCTTTAAAACATGGGAAATAGAATAAACACAGTGCTGTCATAGTTGTAATTCATTGTGTGAATGAAAGAACTTGTGTTTGGTAGGAAGTCGTGGTAAATGCAATATCAAATTTAATGCCACATACCTCAGACTCACTATTATTCATCAATAAGCAGGGAATAAACATAGAAACATCTGACTTTGCCAAACATTCTTGTGGAGTGGGCTCAGTGACAATCTCAAATGGTATTGAGTTTATGCATATTAAAATATTTTTATTGTTAGGATAATGCACATACATGATATTTTGAATTCTTAGACCCCATCCTGTACTCTTGTCCTCAATGGCAATTGAATATGAGGACCATGGATTTCAAAAATCTTTGTGCCAAAATAAACATATCTTTTAATTCTATTTTCCGCCAACTTTTTGAAGTATAGAGACAAAGACACACACACACCCTTTTGTACACAAATGGGAGTATACTGTATACACAATTCAGCAATCTGCTTTTTAACACTTAACAATGTATCTTTGAATATCATTCCCTATCAACACATTTGTATCCTCGGCTCTGCTTATTTTCTTTCAATTTTATGTCAGTATTTCTACATAAATAACAACCCTTTTGTAATGTGTTCTGACATACAGGAGGTAACACAGATATTAAGAAAGAGCTGGGTGATAATATCAAAGAGGAGGCTTACACAAATGGCCACAGCCATTTATTCAAGGCAATAAACAGAAATGCAAACTCAATTCTAAAATGTGGCACTTAAGCACACAACATCTAAGCAACTCAGGAATTGTCAGAATATGCAACTTGTTCCTTCATTTCTCTCATTATTCAACTTATTTGCAATTTTAAAGCTTTACATGTCAAGTTACAATATGTAACTGACTTAAATGATTATTTTAAAAACAATATTTTCTATGAAAGGTTTGGTATTTCCACCCATTGCTTCTATGTAAATATCCACATTCAAATTCTCTCATGTAACATGAGAAATGACTTCTCAAAGACTCTCCAACATTCCTTACATTCAGAATATTTTTAAGATGAAACAAAACCGTTGGTTCCAACAATTTTTTTCATATTAATGTCACTCATGAGGTTTCTCTTCCAAATGAGTTTTCACATGTTTGGTAAGTGATGCATTTTGTTTGAAGGCTTTCCCACATTCATCGCATTTGTAGGGTTTCTCTCCGGTATGAGATCTCTGATGTATAACAAGTTGTGACTTTGCATTGAAGGCTTTTCCACATTCGTTACACTCAAAGGGTTTCTCCCCAGTGTGAGTTCTCTGGTGCACAATGAGGTGTGCCTTTTGGCTGAAGGCTTTCCCACACTCAGTACATTCATAGGGTTTCTCCCCAGTATGAACTCTCTGATGTTGAGTAAGGCCTTCGATTTGCTTAAAGGCTTTCCCACACTGGTTACATTCAAAGGGACTTTCACCTGTGTGTGTTCTCGTATGGTAAGTAAGAGATGAGCTATGTCCAAAGGCTTTTCCACATTCATCACATTTGTAGGGCTTCTCCTTAGTGTGAGTCCTTTCATGGATGACTAAGTGTGACTTCTTGCTAAATGCTTTTCCACATTCAGTACATTCAAAGGGTTTCTCACCTGTATGAATTCTCATGTGTTTAGTCAGGGATGAACTATACTTAAAGGCTTTTCCACACTCACTACATTCATATGGTATTTCACCTGTGTGAGTTCTCACGTGTTCAGTAAGAGACGAGTTATACCTAAAGCATTTTCCACATTCCTTACATTCATAGGGCTTTTCACCTGTATGAGACCTCACGTGTTGAATGAGGTTTGAACTGTGTCTGAAGGTTTTCCCACATTCAGTACATTTGTAGGGCTTTTCCCCAGTGTGAATCCTTAGATGGTCAGTGAGTGCATGCTTATGACCATGGGCTTTGCCACACTGAGTACACTCATAGGGTTTCTCTCCAGTGTGAGTTCTCTGATGTACAACAAGGTGTGATTTTTGGCTGAAGGCTATGCCACATTCATTACATTCATAAGGTTTCTCCCCAGTATGAATTCTCTGATGGTCAATGAGTCCTTGTTTATGGCTCAGAACCTTTCCACATTGATTACATCCATAGGGTTTCGCGGCAGCCTTGGCTTTGCTATGCTTAGTAGATGAACCATGGCTGGATGATGTAGCATGTTTCTTTCCAGCATGAATTCTGTCTCGCCTAGAATGGGATGAGCTTTGATTGCATAATTTCTCATGCTTCTTCCCACTTTCAGCTTTGTCACATTTTTCAGATGGGCTGTCATTGGGTAATTTCTCAAGTTTTTTTCTGATCTGATTTTTGTTTTTCTTTGTATCAGATGAGCGGTCACTGAATGATTTCCTGTGTTCTTTAGCCTCATCCGGTTTCTTTTTCGTACATTTTATTATATGACCAGGTAAGTCTAAATTCTCTTTCAGATTTTTTCCATGTGAACCAACTTTATGAAGCCTTTTTTTGGAAGGAAGATGTTTTGTACTTGTTTTATTTTTTTTTCCCAATGAACCACACTCACTGCCTTTCTTCTTAATCAGAGTTTTCTTCTTGAATGCAACTTCTCTAATGAGCTCATTCTGGGATTCCTGGTTCTTCTCTAGTTGATCCTTATCTTGCTGGATTTCTTCTAAAATGGAATTCAATGAGACATTCTTATGAATTTTTGTACTTTCATATTTTGGAATAAAACTTAGAAATAAATGTCCTGTAGTGGGGTTGAATCTTTATTCAACCCTAGTATCCCAAAGTAAAAGAAACATCAAGGGCAAATGTCCCTTATACTTTTAGACTTGGGGGGTAAAATGTTATAGTAAAAGAAGAGAAAGAAAATTGACAATAGCTCTTTCTGCCATCTTGGAGCCTGTGGAGGCCCGCTGGGAACAGGACTTCTAGAAGGCAGCTATGTCTAGAAGACTGTGGTGCAAGGCCATTTTTGCTGGCTATAAGAGAGGTCTCTGAAACCAAAGGGAACACATGGCACTTCTTAAAACTGAAGGTGTTTATGCTGAGATGAAACTGAATTCTACTTGGGCAAGAGGTGTGCTTATATGTACAAAGCAAAGAACAATACAGTGACTCCTGGTGGCAAACCTAACAAAACCAGAATAATCTGGGGAAAGGTAACTCGTGCTCACGGAAATAGTGGCATGGTTTGTGCCAAATTCCAAAGCAACCTTCCTGCGAAGGCCATTGGACACAGAATCCATGTGATGCTGTACCCATCAAGGATTTAAACCATTGAAAAGTAAATAAATAAAAGTGGAAAAAAAAGAAAATTGACAATAGTAATTAGAAACAGCTTTGACTGCTTAAAAACATGACCTTTCAGCCTAGGATAGAAGATGAAATAAACACAACAGGCAGTGAATAGGGAATGGGTCAAGTTGAAAGAGCTTGTGATTGCATTTGACAGTTTTCGAGTTCTCCCCTCAGCCCTAGCTGCTCTGATCTGATAACTGTCAACTTATCCAACTGGCTCCAACTGTACTATATTACTCCAGCTCAAACCATGATGTGCAATAAGATTCCTCATGGTAGAAATTCAGACTCTAGTTAATCTCCACTTGGTGCTCACATTTAAAAATTATATAAGGCAGGTCCTAGTGAATTATTTATTTCCCTGTATAAACACAAAGCTTTTATTAATACAAAGAATGAAGCATACACACAGAGAGAAGAGACCGTTGTCATAATTTCAATTCTAATAGTTTCCTCATTCCTTGTCTTAGTCCTTGGTGAGGTCTGGCTATAGTCTATGCCCTTAGGTTATAAGAGATACACATATGTCCTTATCATAAATTCCTCTACTTTGGCTGAAGTAAACTTTTGTTAATGTATCCAAAAGAGACAGAAGAGATATACAGAAGAGCTAATAGATGACTGAAGGAATCAAAAGGAAAGGGTGTACCAACTGCTACGACCCACAACCAATATCATAATGATATTCCTGTAGTTTAGAAAAAAAAGTAGCTTCTTCATGTTCCTTGATACTTTTACCAAATGATAAAATTAACAGTAATTATCTTGGCAAACTAAATTCCCACCATCTGCATTTATAGTAGATGCACATGTTTATTTTCTAACAGTTTGCTATGGAATATATCTTTGTTCCTATCAGGTTATTTTAATTGGCAATGATAAATTTTAAGTTTATTCCTAGTTGCTCATGTACTTTCCTCAACACATTACATAATTTTGAAATGTCTTCTCAATACCTCTTTCCCTTTTCTGAGACACCACCCACATTGACAGAAGTAGGCAGCCATGTTTGTACTACATGATTTAACCTCTGGCTGGAAACAACTGACTGGACAGTGGTAAACACCAGGCCCCAGCTAGTTCAACATTACTTGGAATTTAGAATTGAAATTCAAAAGACTTTTTTTTAAGGTAGGTATGGATACCACATGTGTACAAACCTATACATTTAAGAGCTGAGTCTGCCAGTTGGTGGTGTCCTGTTTCAGTTACAAAGATGGAAAAGCAGAAAAGGCTTCATATTGAGAATTTAAAAGACAAAAAGGAAAAAAGCAGATGTCAGAGCCCCTATGACCCCATAAAGAAAGAGACAGAAAGTGAACAGCCACCTTGTTGGTAAAAGAACATGACATGGAGAAAGTGAAAACTGGATTCAAACAGGAAGAGTTGTGGCATCTAAACAGACAGCCAGGAAATTGTATTTTATGGAGGATATTGGAGAGACCAGTTCCCATGCACTAAAGGATCAAGTTTTAGAAGTTCAGATATAGTAGGGAGCCTAACAAGTAGAGTTGTTAGCTGCTTTTTCATTTAGGAAAATTTAAGTGATGCAGCACCCTGCAAGAAAGAGTATAGCAGAAACTTCTAGGTAGCATAATAAGGCTGGTCTTCTAATGCCCAAGGAAAGATGGAGGTTGGGTTTTCTTTCTGGGGAACAAAAAGCATTTAGCCTAGCATTTAAGATGTCCATGTCCTACATCAAGGGTCTGAGTTCACTTCCCAGCTCCAGCTCCTGGTTTTAGCCTCTTGCCAATGCAGCCACTAAGAGGCAGCAGTGATGGCTCAAGTAACTGGGTTCCTGCCCCCAACATGAGAGACCTGGATTGCGTTCCCAGCTCCTGGACCTGGCTTCCACCCTGTCTCAACCATCGCAGGCATCTGGGGATTGAACCAACAGATGGGAACTCCATGTGTCCCTCTCAAGTAAAACTTTTTAGATGTTAATAAAAAATGCAAACCTTTCCTCTTGATATGTAACCCTCTTTGTAACGATGGATTGGACTGGGTCCCAACTGATATCTGTCCCCAGGAAAAGAAATGGAGCGCTACAAGAGAAATTCACCGTGAGGGAAGGAAGGAGAATATAAAGGCATGAATGGATAAAAGAGAATGACATTGCCTTATCATCCTATGGGGGAGAGTTGGGACTGGCAGATCATTTGAATTCAGCTGGAAACAGCGAATTTAAGACAGTAACTGAGGGGCCGGTGGTTGCCACATAGCAGGTAAAGCTGCTGCCTTTGACTTGGGCATCCCATATGGGTGCTGGTTCAAGACCTGGCTGCTCCATGTCTGATCCAGCTCCCTGCTAACGCACCTGGGAAAGCAGTAGAAGATGGCCCAAGTGCTTGAGCCCTTGCACGCATGTGGGAGGCCAGGAAGAAGCTCCTGACTCCTGGCTTCAGATGGGCCTAGCTCTGGCTATTGTAGCCATTTGGGGAGTGAACCAGCAGATGGAAGATCTCTCTGTCTCTCTTTCTCTGTATAACTCTGACTTTCAAATAAAAAAAGACAGTAACTGAAAAGTGGATTTTAGTCTAAAACAACGGCAGCTCCAGGAACTTACATATGGTGCTCGCTAGAACACAGAGAATCACTAGAAGCAATAGAACAGTCCTTCTTGAAGGGCCTCTGAGTACTATACGAGAAGCTGAACAAGAAAAGGTTCACTGTAACAATGACAAAAATGTACTGAACAACTGGGGATTATTTTTCAGCTGTAACAAGTGTCAGCAAGTCAAGTCAAGATAACCCAAACTGGAGCCACTGAGAGTTGGATTCGAAACTCCACAGGGTCTCTTCATTTGTCATTGAAAGGACTGGGCCCTCTGGTCTCAGGAAATTTCTGGGGTCATGGAGAAGGACAGGTGGCTGTATGGAGGGTGGATTAGGCATCCGGAGAGGCTGTACCAAATGTTCACAGCTCTGGGTTTCATCTTTGTCTTAGTGGTGTGACAGACTGCATTATTGTTCCCTGTGGCAGGATTACACCTCCCAGTCTCTCCCAAGCACGTGGGCATTTGAATCGCAGCACCCCTCCCTGTGGAAAGACTACACATTCCTACCCTTTTGAACTCAGTAGTGGCCAGGTGGCTTGCTCCAACCAACAAAAGTTGAACTGAAAAGGTATCTATAACTTCTAAGCAGTGATTTTTAAGAGTTATTAATGGTTCTAATGCCCTCTTTCTCCTCTGCCAGCAGAACAGAATCTTCCCAACAAGGAATACTCTTTCAGTGTAGGTCCCCAAATGAAGAGAATGTGGAATAAGGCCACAGCTCAAGCAAGAAATACATCTTTATTGTCATAAGCATTGATGTTGGAGTCAATCTTTAATGGAACAAAACTTAGTCTAAGCTGATTGCTATATGCGGTATAACCAAACTCTCACAAATAACACTGGCTCACTTCTATACTGAACCTCACATGAGAACCTCTCATGTCGACAGGCTCATGCAAGGAAGAGATATTAGAATCTCCAAGACCAGAGATTCTTTCTCTCAGGAGGTTCTAATCCCATTCACTCCTTTTTCCTGGTTAAGAAAGAAGGGCCTGCAATCTTTAAGAAGAATTTAACAATCAATTATTCTTTGAAAAATTCCAAAGTTGCCATCAAGAAACTAAGAACTTACTTCCATCAGCGCCCATTTTCTTGGGTCTTTCTACTTTGTTCAGACGACTCTGACTGGGTCTTCTCCCCTTTCCTAACCACAGCTCTTCTCCTTTCTCCAACTTGGAGATCATGTCTGGTTTGGAAGCTTCATATCCTGCTCATGAAAAATGGTAGAAAGTGGGTGTTAGAACAATAACCCCAGGAATCAAGCCCCAGTGCCTGTACTCCAGGGCCTTTGAAAGCTAAATAATATATATCTTCTAAGATTTCATAGTACAGATGCCCATGAACCTCAACTAAATAGATCTTCAATTTTGGAGGCATGGTACAAGTATCCTGCCTGGCTGGTACCTCTGACTCATAAAAATCAAGGCCAAACTTATCAAGGACTTCAGAGGACAGGTATCACAGTGGACACAGTTTACATCATGAAGGAACTGTCCTCCTTACCCATTGAGGTCAGGTTGCTGTAGTTCTCCAGCATCACATCCTTATAGAGTTTCCTCTGGGCAGGATCCAGTTGCTCCCATTCCTTCTGGGTAAAGGCCATGGTCACATCTTTGAATGTTACTGATCCCTGTAATAGTAAACTCCTGGTCAGTCTCCTGTTTCCCACATTCAGGGAGTGATCTGGACTCACTGAATAATACCTTGTTCTTACCTTGACCACTCACTGTTGGGCACGATGCCTATTCTCTACCCAACTTCGCATTTTTTTAAAAAGAAACAATTCATATTAAGGAATTCTCCTATTGTGAACTTGTTTATTCAAGAGGATAAAATCATACAAATATCATAAAAAAAGACGATTACCTCCAAAAAAGAAACAAACAGATCCAATCTTTATATTTTCTTCTCTAGCAATGGCTGCTACAAGGCTGTGAGGCAGTATAGAATTCTGAGGTAAGAGAATTGAGATTTTGATAATGAGTCCCCAAAATCATTTATGTTTGGAAACCCAAGGGTTTTACTGGGGGTGGTCAGGTAAGGCTTCTCTGCATATACAAAAATTCCAGGCTCTCACTCTCAGAAGGAAAGCAAGAGTTCAGCATAAATTACACATTTTAGGCTGGCGCCGCGGCTCACTAGGCTAATCCTCCGCCTGTGGCGCCGGCACACCGGGTTCTAGTCCCGGTCTGGGCGCCGGATTCTGTCCCGGTTGCTCCTCTTCCAGGCCAGCTCTCTGCTTTGGCCCAGGAGTGCAATGCAGGATGGCCCAAGTTCTTGGGCCCTGCACCCCATGGGAGACCAGGAGAACCACCTGGCTCCTGGCTTCGGATCAGCGCGGTGCACCGGCTGCCGCGGCCATTGGAGGGTGAACCAACAGCAAAGGAAGACCTTTCTCTCTGTCTCTCACTGTCCACTCTGCCTGTCACAAAAAAAAAAAAAAAATTACACATTTTAGGGGTAAGCATTGTGGTGAAGCGGGTTGTGCTACTGTTTGCAATGTTGGCATCCTTATGGGTGCTGGTTCAAGTCCTGGCTGCTCCACTTCCGATCCAGCTACCTGCTAATGGCCTGGGAAAGCAGGGGAAGAAGACCCAAGTCTTTGGGCTCTTGCATGCATGTGGGAGACCCAGGTAGATTTCCAGCTTTGGCTGGCTTTGGCCTGGCCCAGCTACAGCTATTATGGCCATTTGGTGAGTGAACCAGCAGAAAAGAGTGTGTGTGTGTGTGTGTGTGTGTGTGTGTAAAACTCTGTCTTTCAAACAAATAAAGCAATCTTTTTGAAAAAACCCACAATTTTTAGGCAATGGGAGTCACTCTTATCCATTCTGGGAATAGTGGGAACTCTCTTGAATTACAATTTCCCAAATGCTGGCCAAAGATCAACTTTGAGAGCAGGCCTGTCTAATAATAGCAGTTTCCGGCTTACAGTGTAACTCTTTCTGCAGTTATCCCATCTCATTCACAACTAACTTTAGCGCCGGCTTCCTCTCTGTCAGAGCTCCTGCCATCATTCATTCAGTACCACCTCTGGATCAATGTAGAAAAGCCATTCAACACTAGGCCTTTCTCTTTCATGACTCCAACAATCATCTTCCTCCTAAACTCAGCCACCTACCCATCACCTGCCCAGGACTTACACCCTGCCATCACTACACCATCTCCAACGTCTCTAGAACATTCTATCTTCCGGTCATCATTTCCTAGCCTGCCAGGTTCACTTTCTCTAGTACTTTCACTTCAATAATTCTCTGGACTCATTGAGCTCACTCATCCACTCACCCTAACTACTTTTTTTACAATCTTCCACCCCCACAAAGCCTTTCTCTTTCTTTTTTAGATTCCCTATTCTAGCACCATCAATACACCAGTGAAAACTTTAAAACTTTCACTTCCTTGTCCCTTTTCTCCTCCACTGTACTCATATATAAAAGCTTCATCCCAACTTTCTTCTTCTTTTTTTAAAGATTTATTTTATTTATTTGAAAGGCAGAGTTAGAGAGCAAGGGAGAGAGACACAGAAAGAGATCTTCCATCCGCTGGTTTACTCCCTAAATGGCTGCAAGAGCCGAGGTTAGACCAGGCTGAAGCCAGGGGCCAGGAGCTTCTTCTAGGTCTCCCAGGGGCCCAGGGACTTGGGCCATCTTCCGCTGCTTTCTCAGGTACATTAGCACGGAGTTGGATTGGAAGTGGAGCAGCCGGGACTCAAACCACAGCCCATATGGGACAGGAGCCTCATAGGCAGCAGCTTTTGTCACTATGCCACAATGTCGGCCCTCCGATTTTCTTCTTAATCTCTGCTTGCAACCTTGTAGCTGAACATTCCAAGAGAAAAATCAAATAACTGTGCTACCTCAACTCAGTTCATATTTATTTTTTAAAATATTTATTTATTTGAAAGGCAGAGTTACAGAGAGAAAGAGAGAGATGTTGCATTCACTGGTTCACTCCCCAAATGGCCACAATGGCCGAAGCCAGGAGTCCAGAACTCCATCTATGTCTTCCATGTGGGTGGCAGGGGCCCAAGCACTTGGACCATCCTCTGGTGCTTTCCCAGGTGCATTAGCAGGGAGCTGGATTGGAAGTGGAGCAACCAGGACTTGAATGAGTACCATATGAGAAGCCAATGTCACAGGCAGCAGCGTAACCTACTGCACCACAACACCGGCCCCTCACTTCAGATTCATAACATATATCTCAAACGGACATCTAATACTGTCAGCAATCCTACTACTTATCCCTAGAAAACTCATCTTTCCTCCTCCAGGATAATTATTTCAAACCTCCTTTCTCTCTGAACCTTCAACATCTTCTTTCCCATTTGCCTTATGCTTTAAAGAGAAATGTATGCAATGGAGAAGAATTACCTAGCCTTATTACCACCAATTCTACAAATCTGTTTCTAAACCCTTGCATAATATTCGTTTCCTTCTGTTAAAATGGAAGTGTCTCTTCTCTTACCTAAGGCAACTGTTTGCATTGGTGCTCTGGATCCCATCCTTAACTGTCTTGACTAGGCCTTCATTCTGCAATTACTTTTCTCTCTTTTGTACTCTCTATTTCTCCCTTCCTGCTGTATGCATCATTCCTATTGGTATACAAAGTTTCCTTAACCCCACTCATCTGAAGAAAACTTGATCCTGATTTCATGTCCCACCCAATGTCCATTTCTCTGCTTCCTTTACCAGCAAAATTCCCCATAAGCATTCTCTAGACTTGTTCTCACTACATTACCTCCCATTCTTTCAATGTATTCCAACAGGATTTTACTCCCATCATTCCACTGAAAGAGCTCTAATCAATCAAAGCAACCATTGAGCTAGATCTTGATGAATTAAAATTCTCTGTAGTCATACTCTGGGACTCATAAGAGCATATAACATAATTGGTTACTCCCATTGTCATGAAAAGCTTTCTTCCTTTTGCTTCTTTGATACCACACTTGCACAGCTTTCTTCCTGTTTTGGGATCACCCCCTTTTCCCCTTCTGGAGTTTTGTCCACTACCAGACCTCTACATGTCAGAGTGACACAGGCCCCTGCCTTGGCTCTCTTGTCTTTCCCATCTGCCTTCTCTTCCTAGGTGGCCTCGGCCAGTCTAATGGCTATAAATAACATTTATGCTGATGCCTTTCAAATATGGTTTCCTAGCCCAGATTTCTCCTACGTTCCAGATCCATATATCTAAAGGCTAGTCAACAGCTCTAGTTGGATATGTAATGGGCATCTAGGCTTGGACAAAACAGAACCACTGTCATCCACCTTGGATCCCATTTCCATGCAGGAAATTTGATCTCCTCCAATACTACGCTTTCCCCAAAAAGTGGCGTCACCATCCATCTAGCTCCTCAGGTCAAAAGTCTAGATGTAGGAGCCAGCACCATGGCTCACTTGGCTAATCCTCCGCCTGCAGTGCCGGCATCCCATATGGGCACTGGGTTCTAGTCCCGGCTGCTCCTCTTCCAGTCCAGCTCTCTGCTGTGGCCCGGGAGGGCAGTGGAGGATGGCTCGAGTGCTTGGGCACCTGCACCTGCGTGGGAGACCAGGAGGAAACACCTGGCTCCTGGCTTCGGATCGGCATAGCTCCGGCTGTGGCGGCCATTTGGGGGGGTGAACCAACGGAAGGAAGACCTTTCTCTCTGTCTCTCTCTCTCTCTAACTCTGCCTGTCAAAAAAAAAAAAAAAAAAAAGTCTAGATGTAAATCTTGCTTGTTCTCCTTCAGATTACATATCAATTCACATCCAGATGTATTCTGAATCTGATTTCATTTTATTTTACTGCTATGACACTTTCATGAATCATCATCTATTTGCCTTCAGTTAGTGCAATAAAATGCCTAACTGATATCCCTGTATCTTGTACCTCTGTACTCCATCTTCCATAGCGTAGCCATGGTGATCATCTTTTAAAAGTATCAATCAGAACAGTCTCCCAGCCTAAACTCAAGGGTTTCTCATTGCAACTAGAATAAAATCCAAATCCTTATCCCAGCCAATGAGGTTCTGCATGATTTGGTCCCTTCCTACCACTTGATTTCACATCTTTCTTTTTTCACTCTGACTATTCTCCAACCACAGCAAACCTCTGGTTTTTTTAAAAAATTATTTAAGGGGGTTTAGGAGAATGAGAGAGAGAGAGAGAGAGAGAGAGAGAGAGACAGTCCTATCCACTGGCATGCCTCCCAAATGCCTGAACTAGCCAAGGAGAGGACAGGCTAAACCTGTGAGCCTGGAACTCATTCAAGTCTCCCACATGGCTGGCACGTGGGCATTACTTGGGACATCACTGCTGCCTCCCAGGATGTGCATTAGCAGGGAGCTGGAGAAAGGAGCCCAAGCCGGGCGTTGAGCCCAGGCACTCCAATATGGAACACGGGTATCTTAACCACCAGGCGAACTGCTCACCCCCGAGTTCTGTTTTTTAATCACATCAAGTTCACTCCTACCTCTAGACCTTTGCAGGTGACGTTCCTGCTTCCTGGAATACACTTTCTTCAGATCTCTGTATGATCACCTCCTTGTCATTATTTATGCCTCAACGGTCATTTTCCTATTCAGACTTCCCATGGCTAAATTTCCTTCCCTACCCTCAATCACTCCTTATCCCATTCTTTTACTTTCTCCATAGTGCTCATTAGTGCTGGGAATTGTTTTATTTGTTTATTTATTTACTTTTTTTTTTTTTTTTTTTGGCTCTCTCCTATTTCTAAAATTTAAAGATATTGAGGGAGGGACTCTGGCCCTGCTTCCTGGTATATCCTTAGCAATCAAAACACTTTCTGGCATAAAACAGCTACTCATCTTACAGTCTGTTCCTACAAATTTCCAATCACAGATCCCCAAATACTCCTCAGTCATTAACTTTTGCAAGCTTCCCTCAGTTACAGAACCCTACAAGTTCCCAATCGCCATTCTCCACGGACCTCCATTCACTGATTCCTACAGAACCCTCCATCACCAACCCCTGGAATGCCCTCGCAGGCTCCTGGTCAAAGAATCACAGAGGACCTTTAATCGTTAATGCTATGAATCGCCTCATCTTTGAAAACACAGTTATGGCTCCTGGACGCCACCTCATTCCTGACCTACACAAGTCGCCAATCACCTCTTCTCCCCAGACAACATACAAAGCATCCACCATCCCCAGAGACCCCTCCACATTGAACCCCCTCTCCACACTCCAACTGCTACCCCTCCACCGGCCCCCAGGACCCCTCAGTGCCCACTAATACCACACTAACTGTTGGCTCCCGAAGATACTGCTAACCAGACTTCCACAAACATCACCATCACTAAGTCCAGGTCGCAATCTCTGAACCTCACAGATTCCCCCAGCCAGCGAACTCCCAATCCCAACACGGCCGCTCTGTGATATCCCAGTGTGTAACCATCACCGGCGGCACCCAACTCCGCAAGCCCCTGTAGGCATCCCAAATCGCCGGTCTCACAGAGCTGCTCAATCCCTGACACATCACAAAAGCCCCCACAGCATTCCAAACTCAGGGACTGCCTCAGACGTCACTCCATCACTGTCTCGGCAGATCTCTCAAACCGCTGATTTCCTACAACTTCATCAGTCACTGAGCCCACAGGCGCCCCCACCCCCACCTCACAGAGCCCTCCGAACACTGACTTGCCCAGAGACCCGCCAGCAGCGACCCCACCAGTTCCCGAGTCATCATTTCACAGACTACGGTAACCCTCCAATCATTAACCCTAATTAGACTCGCTCTGATGCCAGATAGCCCCGCCCCATCATCATTCTTACAGCTGCACAGTCCCCGGGCTCGGACACAGCCATCTCCTGGGGACGCCCGGCCTCTTCGGCCGTTCCCGGACTTCTCTGGTCCACGGTCTTGGGCTTTGTCAGGATCTGCTCACAGCCAGAGGCAGACATGGCGAACACCCGGAGCGCGGCCGCAGCAGGTCCGGCAGCCGCAATGGCTGCGCCCTGGGTCATCGCCCGTGGGCGCGGCCATCTTGGTGGAGGCCCAGCCGTACGGCAGAGGCGCGGGGGTCTCTGGGGCGCGCCAGGGAGGTGGGGCTGGGGGCGGTGCTCGGTTACTTAAGGCAGAAAGGGGCTGTGATTGACACCGCGCCCCTGGAAAGACGGTGGACGGAATTTGGAGGTTTTTGTCGTCCCCCCCTCCCCCCCGCCCCCGAGTAAATCAGTGCGGTCAGCTGAATCGCAATGCCTAAAGCGAACTCTAGAGAGCTGGGGTAATGAGATTGGAGGGGGAAAGGGGAGGAGCCCTATCAGATACAGGATACAGGATAAATCCTTTCGTAGTACAAAGCGAACACACTCCTCCTCCGTGAGAGCCCCGCTTTCACGGAGAGACGAGTACTTCCGTAGAATAATCAAGCAGTTGAAACAAATCATTTCGCGCGTTCACTGCATTCGCCGAACAATAGTTAGTTGAGTTTTATTCAACAAATATGTGCAGACTAGGTGCTGGGGAAACAGTGGAGGCTCAGACCCGGCTCTCTTTCCCGCTGGGACCGACAGTGGGGCAGACAGCGGTGGAGCTCTCTGAAACACATCACTCCTTTTTCTGGAATCAAATGTACCCAGCTTTGCTCCATCCAGTTGCGTGAATGAACCACCAGTTATGTGCTGGTCAGCAATGGCTGTGTGTGTTTGTGTGTGTGTGTGTGTGTGTGTGTGTTTTAGATTTATTTATTTGAGAGAGAGAGAGAGGCAATTTTCCAGCCATGGGTTCACTCCCCAAATGACTGCAACAGCCCAGGCAGAATCAGATTGAAACTAGGAGCCAGCAACTCCTTCCAGGTCTCCTGCATGGGTGGCAGGGGCCCAAGTACTTTGATCATCTTCCGCTGCTTTCTCAGGTGCATTAGTAGAGAACTGGATTGGAACTGGAACAGCTGGGACTCAAATTGACACTCAGATATCAGATGCCAGTGTGGCAAGCAGCAGCTTAACCAGCTACCCCACAATGCCAGCCACGTGTGTCTTTTATGTTTGACCTCTCAACACTTTATCTGAATACAGTTTTTACTGAGCTTGTAAGGAAGACTTCTTTAGATTGCCTATCTACAAGACAGTTTGTGCTTAGTATCCTTATCCTATTACTGATTCCTTCTAATCGTGCTTTTTTAGTCCCACAAATATAAATGGTATGTTTCCCAATTATTCTAAAACAATCACAGGCATGCTTTTTCCTAGTCCCTGGCAACCACACCCAGCAAAAATGTTATAAATATTGTAAACAAAGTTCTAATATGGTCCCCATTATCTCTGCCCTATGGTTCTATGCCCATTTGATTTGCCCCCCTCTTTGGGGGATTGGAAGAACCTTAGATTTTTCGATTATCACTTCCATGATTAGGTCCCAAATCACTCAACTTTTTTTTTTTTTAGTTGACTTTTAAGTTCATAAAATCGGAGATTTTCCTGGGTGTGAATGACCTAATCAGGTGTTTTTTTTTTTTTAAGATTTATTTTATTTATTTGAAAGACAGTTTCAAAGAGAGATAGAGCCAGAGAAAGAGAGAGGGAAGGGTCTTCCATCTGCTGGTTCACTCCCCGAATGACCACAATGGCCAGAGCTGAGTTGATCTGAAGCTAGGAGCCAGGAACTTCTTCCAGGTCTTCTACACAGGTACAGGGGCCCAAGGACTTGGGCCATCTTCTACTGCTTTCCCAGGCCATAACAGAGAGCTGGGTCGGAAGAGGAGCAGCTGGGACTAGAACCAGCGCCAATATGTGATGCCGGTGCTGCAGGCTGGGGCTTTAACCTACTGCGCCACAGTGCCAGCTCCATCAGGTGAGCTTTTAAAGGGACTGGACCCGTCCTGAAGTCAGATGCAGAACGTGGGAAGGCCCGTGGAAGAAGCCACGTGGAAAGGGCATAGCAGCAGCCTCTGGGAGCAGACAGCGGTTTTGGTCTACAACTAACAAAGCAACAAGGGCCTGACTTCTACAACTGCAAGGAAATGATTTCTGTCAGCGATCTGAGGGAATCCTGGGAGCCTGTCTAAGCCTCCAGGTTAGGATGCAACCCAACCAACACCTTGATTTCAAATTCATGAGACACTGAACAGAGCACCAAGCTGTTCGAATTGGCATTCTCTAGAGAAGCAGAGCCAACGGGATAAACGAGGGTATATATTACGGGCATTGGTGCACATGACCGTGGAGGGCATGAAGTCCCGGGACCTTCCATCTGCAAGCTGCAGAGCCAGGAGAGCAGGTGGTATCTAGAGTCTGAGTCTGAAGGGGGTGGGAGTGGGGGATGGGGCATGGTGGAGTGCCCGCAGCCATAGTCCCGAAAACCAGAAGCTCCAGTGTCAATGGCAGAAGATGAATATTCCAACTCAAGGAGAGAGTGAGTGAGAGAGAGAGAGAGAGAAACCATGGCCTTCCTATGTCCTTCTGTTCTGTCAGGTTCTTGATGGGTTGGATTATATCTGCTCATGTTGACCAGGGTCAGTTTTTACTGTTTATTATTCAAAGTCTAATCTCTTCCCAGGAACACCATTACAGACACACATGGAGATCATGTTTTACCAGCTAACTGGACGTCCCTTAGCTCAGTCAACTTAACACTAAATCTAAAGTCACTGGTAACTTGTTATGCAGCAATAGACAACCAAGAACTTAGTTGAGATTGAAAAATAATGGACTGGTTGAGATTCCTCACCTACGTGGGATACAGGCCCCCTGCCCGGTACCCTGACAGAATAGCCTTCGATCTCCCTCTTTCCGAGGGTGATCAGTTGCTTCTACTCCTCTTTATATATGTACCTGACATTAGTTGTTCCTGATATCACAGTTCTGATCAAGTTCAAAACACAGATTTTAAATAGCCTCAGGGCCAGAATTGTGGCATATTGCCTAAAACTACCACCTGCAATGCTGGCATCCCTTATGGGTGCCAGTTTGTGTCCCAGCAATTCCATGTCCAACCCAGCTTCCTGCTAATGGTCTAGGAAGATGGCCCAAGTGTTTGGGCCTCTGCTACCCACATGGGACATCTGGAAGAAGCTCCTGGCTTTGGCCTGACTCAGCCCTGGTTGTTGCGGCCATCTGGGGAGTGAACCAGCAGATTGAAGATCTCTCTGTCTCTTCCTCTCTCTCTGTAACTCTTTCAAGTAAATGAACAAATCCGTTTTTGAAAAAATAGCCTCTGTTCCCACCTCTTCACAGATCAGAAAGGAGAAGGAAGTAGGAAAGATTAAATGGGGAAAAACAGGAGGTGTTGGGAACAGGATATGGAAGGGCGACCAGGAAATTTGTAATTTACTAAAGATGCTCCATCAGCCCCACAAGGAAGGATCAACTGATTTTCCAGTCTAAGAAAACAGGGAGGGGCCAGCACTGTGGTGTAGCGGGTAAAGCCACCCCCTGCAGTGCCAGCATCCCATATGAGTGCCCTTTCCTGTCCTAGTTGCTCCACATCCCATCCAGCTCCTTGCTATGGCCTGTGAAAGCATAAGAAGGCCCAGTTCCTTGGATGTGGCTCCTGGCGTCCGATCCGTGCAGCTCCGGCTGTTGCAGCCATCTGGGTAGTGAACCAGTGCATGGAAGACTTCTCTCTCTCTGTCTCTTCCTCTACCTCCTCTGACTCTAGAAACTCTGCCTTCCAACAAATGAATAAATCTTTAAAAAGAGTTACTATTATTAAGCAGCAGATATACTTACTTCCAACTAAGTGGGAAGACCTTTATCTCTGTCTCTCCCTCTCTGTCTGTTGCTCTACATCTCAAATAAATTTTAAAAACCTCTTAAGGCAGACTCCAGGAATGCAGCGCCTGAGCGAGTGCTCACAGAGGAGCGCTACACTGATGAAATCTGACAGTCCTTTCTTGCTGGCAGTGGAGAGCGGCTCAGGCCCTAAAGAGCTCTGGACCCCGAAGTCAAGCAACAGAGTTTATAAAGGCAAAATCCACAAGGAGGGGTGGAGGAGCACGTGGTTGCTGGGGTCAAGATGACCTAAAGCACATGCAAAATGAATAGGAATTCCAATCCTGACATTAGTTCAGGTGCAGCCTATGTGTTTTAAGCTTGAGCAAACAGAGTGAAAACAAGACAATTTGAATTGGGAAAATAAATCACTTTAATAACAGACACATAAATTAAGGAAATCTATTGCCCCACATGGAGAACAATGTCATATAAATAAAGGGATGGACAACTTCCATTTTCAACCATAACAATTCTCTAAATAATCGGGTTTGCTCACTGCACTTGGGGAGAAATTCATATAAGAAATCTGTGAGACCACTACAGTACAAAGCATGGCAATGAAAACAGGAAGACAAATACAGAAAGTCTCTCCCAACATAAACGAAGATACAGATCTATACATTTCTATATGTAAATACAAAATTATTAATACTTATGGATCTCTAGAACTGTATTTCTTGATAAGAGCCTCATTTGTTCAAATAAACGTGAAAACATAAACAGTAAAAACGCCCAAATCGGGAAGGCCTTCAATATCCCAGAAAAGCCCCGGACTTCCTTGCCGAGTCTGAACTTGAGGTTTGTCCTAGGGGACAGGCAGCCCAGCACTGGGTGGGATCCCGTGGGGGTGGGAGAGAGACTCCCCGCCCAGTATTTGCGGGGCCCGGGATTTGAGATCTGCAGCTGGAGCTCCCGGGGTCCTGTGCAGGACGCTGCTGTCACCTTCCCACACTGAGTTGGCAGGGGAGGGCCAGACAGCCCTGGGGCAGAAAGAGGGCCTGTGTCCTGGAGACTGAGCAGGTGCCTCCCAGGGGCCCATTAAGGCCAGGG